TTTTAAATAAGTGAGTTATTGTTTCACTTTAATAGCTTCGAGTGTTTAATCACAATGTATGATTTCAATTTGTATTACTTCCTAATCGGTTTCAATGGTTTTTTTAGTGTACAAAGCTTCCTCGATCCTTTTGTATGTGGACTTATTACACCGTATATGATATATGATAGTGGAACTATGTTAATTCGTAAGTGTTATTGTTTTGCTTTCTTTATTCATTTATAACATATCCGGTTCGTAATCTTCATAATTCGATCATTTTTTGTTCCACATTCGGGTGTTTACTCTCACACTTTGATTGATAAAGTCCATGGATCACTTTATTCGATTTTGGGAGATTGTGGTATTTCAAAAGGCCATCATTAATGGGTGGAACTATGTTAATTCGTAAGTGTTATTGCTTTGCTTTCTTTATTCATTTATAACATATCCGGTTCACGATGTGCATTCAATATTCATCACTACTAGGTCTTGGGCCTGTTTTTATAGTTAAAGCTCAATTGTCCAATTTCCAAATTATTAAACACAAAACTAGTAATAGATGACAACTTGACGCCTCTTTAGACTTTGATGCCCTGTGCGGCCGCACAGGCTGCACGTGGCCAGGCCGACCCTGTATAGTATGCAACATATATAGAAACAATATTCTGATTACATGGATATTTAGCACTTTTCACGCTCKTATAGGCTTCTAACTAACTCAATCCAATAGGCATCTACTCACTCATGTTGGTGACACTTGTTCCCAAGTAATCACTATAAAAACTACACAGACAATCAAGCAAGCACTACTAATTGTCCAATGTACATATTATGTGTGCACGAACCAACACAAATGCAAATACGTACTAATAAGGGATCCTATATAACATGTTTGACAAGAAAAACATTATTTTCACAAATGAAAATGATGTTAATCAAACTCGACCARGTTTCAGAAGATCAAACTTCCTATTTGGGTTTGCAGTACATGCCTGCAGTTTGGATTTTGATTCCTTTTAATCGGTTTCCCAAAGCAATTCGTAGTATGTCGGAGATGCATTTAATTATCTGTTAATGTCAGGGGAAGGATTTTGTTGTTTCTCCTTCTAAGGGAGATTTCTGACGAGATAACCGCAACTATAGTCACACTCCCCATGAATATGAACAATCCAATAAAGCTCTGAACATCAAGACTTTGTGGAAGGGCTTGATTTTGTTGTGATTTATCAGGAGTAGAGAACCCAAGATATTTTGTCTTCATTTCCATCATAAGTTCACTTTCTGTGACATTTATGACTGCCCTAGAAAAGTTCTGCAATAAAGGAGATCCACGAGGGAATGCCTGAGATATTAAACACATGGAGTTAGGTAATTGATTGTAATATAGTACAACAACATGAACTTAGAAGCACATAATGGACCCCATGTCACAAAACGCTGGCGCGGTTCAATTGTTTTGTGTTCCCCTAAGTTAACAAAATGAGATTGTTCGAAGTGTCGATGCATGTGGTATAATGCACTCGTATAATTAGAGGTTGCAAGTTTAAATTCTTTTGGCTCTTCTTTTATTTTTTTGGTAACAACAGAAAGATAAGAAAAGATAAAAGACCACTTCTATGTCATTTTTAATAAAACCATAATTTTCATAAACAATTTTTGCTTTATTTTTACATTATGCTAATTATTTTGTGTCCCCTCTTGGAATTTTCTGGATCCACCTCTGATAGSTTGAGGGTTTTKCCTAGGGTTTTCTGTTCAATTGTTTAGTTCTTTTTGTCTATCTGTTTATTCATGATTTCAGGTCAAGRATATTAGGGTTCAATTGTTAAGGGTTGATTTTCAGTAAGTAGTTTGGATTCCACATTGGCTAAATCAAGGAACCATAAAGGATTGAACTAATACAAGAGAGTTAAGGAGAAGAGAGACTCACAAATGCAATTCCAGATTCTTGGTTTATTGGTCCAAACTTCATGTAATCAGAGCCATACTTAGCAAGAAAGAGTTGGATGTAAGGAAGTTCATCATAGATGGCATTTACACTGCCATTRGACAAAGCAKTTTTAAATTCTTCAACGCCTYTTAGGGGCACTATATTCCTCCCAGAAYAATTGGATTTTTGCGCTATAAGATCTTTTAAAAAGGAACCATCTTGATATCCAACATTTTCGAAACTCGAGGGCAATCTGGGACGTAGCTGATCTAGTGTCAACCATGAAGATAAAGTTGCTGTGAAAATCTGAACTACTATGAAAATCATACTTAGCCAAATAACAAGCACAATTTTGGAGCACCTATTAAGTATCTTTCCTGCACAAAAATGAAATAGAAAATAATGAAGAAATATGGAACAATGGGAGTAATTATTAGAGGTATTAAAATTTTCTATATATCAAAATAAGTACCTTCATGGAAAAAGAATGTCGAAATCGGAAACCAGATGACCATTATTAGTTTCTGATAGAATGGGGATGTGAATTTTGGGTTGCTAACACGGTATTCCAGAATTGCAAYTGCAAGTCCAATAAAAATACACGCACCAAGTAGTGTGATCCATAATCTCTTGGTAAAGGGTCTTACAAAAGTCCACAGGGTTTGGTTCCATTCATGTGTAGCATGCACAAGCATATAAACTTCAGAGCTCAGATAGGGGATCGTAAAATCAACGTACTGAGCTCGAGCACCACGCACGGTAACATCTCCTGCCACAGCGTKACAAGTCTGCAATAYAGAGAATTATGAAATATTCGASCTTATAGGAATACACAAGCTCGTAACTCACACTAAGGCCTTTAGGTTGTACTAGCATAAGTCCTAACACTTGATCAGCAAGCCCGTCCAAACTCCAAAAAGTATATACCATATCTCTACTTAATCAGGATCCATGTTAAGTTTCCAATGTTCTCTAAGCTTCATTATTCATCGCTATCCATCCTCTACCAACTGTCAATTTCCTGTTTCTTGGTCCTTCCATGGAGGCATCAATATACTAGATGTGTTTTCAAATGAATAGAGGTTGGCATCTAGTTAATTGGTGTTTTATATCTTCCACATGGTCCTGTTBYATTTTAATCACACAATAAGATATGAATCGACTACACAAACAGACACGCATATATATATATATATTCATATATATATATACACACACACAATAGTATACCTTGCCCTCAATGTGGTGTAGAAGTTGATCATAGGTGCCACTTTCCCCTTTATCATTGATGAAAGTTTTGAAGATAGGCTTGATGTTGAAAGGTAATAATTGTAATGCATGACAGAATACGGCTACGGAGAATCCACCTTCCACTTTTAATTGTTYGTTGACTTTAACAAACTCGGTGAAGCCGGTTTTCTTTGGCACCCACACAACTAATGTTGGGCATGGACCTTTTCCTTGCTTCTTAATCTTCCATTCTGGCCCTATGATGTCTTTATAGATATAACAGCAAATCACACACCAAAACTGTCCAAAATCARTATTATTTGTGAAATAGAAATAGAAGTTATGACTGTCTAAACAAGTATTAGTTATACTATTATGTTGGAATCACATCAGTAAGTTTGTTACATCAGTCATGACATCCACTTATTTGGCTTCATATGTTGACTTGCTGTGGAGGTTGGTGATGGTTACTGGATATATATTCTAATGGGACTTCAACACGCGATAGAGACGCGACCATTGAAGTTAACTTAGTATATATTCATGGTAAATTAAGAATTTCTTTATTTAATCTGTTATGTATGTATGCAAAGGAGACATAAACATTTTTAAATAATAGATACCTTATTTTGATTTTGGTATTTTAATATTTTGGCTGATCGATGTGAATCACAAATAAATTACAAGAACTGAATTTGAAAAAAAATTAAGATTTTAGCAAATGGAAACATTAATTACTAAAATTGGTGTTTTGTGCCTATTAATTTTGGGTTGACCTCTAAACTTCACAAATGATAAAAAGTGCTTAATTATAACAAATAAGCCTACAATAAAGGTGCTTAACTGGTTTACAATATTGTTCATAACTTATCATTGTTTATGTTCTCCAAGAAGTCGCTTTTGACGAACTTCCGAGTTTTAAAACTTTATGATTTTTATATAACTCTCAGGACACGATCTTCAGCTCCTCCATCATCTGTTTGTTCTCAAGACTAACATACTCCTCTTTGCTTCATCCCTTTCATCTGTCATTTTCTTCTTCATCTTGAAACACAAACCGAAGCTGAAATAAATTAGAAAAAGAAAACCTAACAAGATTAATCATTCACCAAACACCTTAGATGCCTCTTCCGTGTCGATCTCTAGATATCGAATAAAACCCTTCAAAGTGGAATGCATGCACGAAGTGGTTAGAATTTAATCCAAACTCAGAACATCAATGCAAACATCAATTGATTTTCCAAATTCCAGCACAACTTTTCAGATCTACTTGATGTAAATGCTGAAACATGTATACCATTGAATTCCATATTAAAGGAAGAGTTTGTGGTTAATGATTCTACTACAAGATTAGAACCCAAAAAAAGTGTTGGTTTCAAGACCTTGAGTAAATATATATCCAAGCATGAGGCTGTTTCAAAAGTGACTGCGAGATTGGGAGCCTATTTCGAAAGAGATTGGCATTGGTTCACAATCAACTATTTAGTTTGGTTCAAAATAAGGAACTTGATTTTGGCTTCACAAGATTTATGGTTTCGAAAGTACTGTTGTTCCTTTCAAGATTGAGTTGGAGATTAGGATTATGGGGAAGAAGATAAATATGTGATGACGAGGTGGCTTCATATTCGATTGATAAATGAGACATTAAAGAAATTTTGAAAATTATATGAGACGTACCGGGAGTAAAACAATCGTTTTATCCATTTTTACCCGGGAACAAATGAAGTTGAGGGCATAACTAGGCTCGAATCCAGCTTATCATGTCGCTCATACGTTTTTGGTTAAAACAAAGTTTATATGCCTGTTTAAGTTAACACAAGCAAGGCGGTCCGGGGGAAGGGCGGGTCGAGCACACCCAGGGCCCACAACAAATAGGGACCTCAATTTCTTTTTAGTTATAACAGTAATTAAAAAAATTAGTAAATAAAAGAGACAATTTTTTTAGTATTTAACAAGACTCAAAAAAGAATTTAGGAGTTGTTTGGCAATTGCTGAATGGTTTGGTGCAAAATGATTAAAAGTAGTCAGAATGATTAAAAGGCTTTCATGATATGGTGCAAAATGAAATATAATTGTTTGATAATTGTGCACAATGAAATTAGGGCTGTTAATAGTTAAGGGAGATCCAGAATACAAAATCATTCAGAAGATTTTAGAACCATTAAGAGGTAGACTTTTTTTTGCCAAACAAGATTCACCTCTTAAAGATTTAGAGGTTGCCTCTTAATGGAACTATTAAGAGGTAAACAAACAACTCCTTAGTATTATACTAATAGGCTCATACTTATATTAATTAATTATATTAGATAAGAAAATATGTAAAATAATTAATTAGTCATTCGTTTTATAGTATTGCTTATTATTTCTCTAAGTTTTTTTATTCTGTATTAAAATTCTAAAACTGTTTACCTTGAAAACCTTGATATATTTTCTACACCATTCATCTCCCGTTTGACTCCTTTCTTATTATTGTATCCGCATTAATTCTGTTTTCGTATTAGAATATTATAGATTTCTTGTTATTAATCAAGAAAAACTCCTACCTTTTGAAAATGATTGTCAATCATATGAGACAATCCAACATATATCTATATTTAGGATTTCAAAACTAGTCATCTTTTCATACATTATTAACTCTTTATTTTCTTCTATTAAGTGCATGAATCTTAAGTGCTCTTTTATCTTTAAATAAGAATAAGATCTCATTCTATAACCAACATAGGCTTTTGATTCTAAGATTGATGGTTCCGAAAAAGTTTTTTTTTTATTAACCTGGATATTCAACCCGCTATGCGAGTCGACTAACCCAGGACGACCACCTGCTTTGCAGGTAGCCTGGAGTCACCGCATTTGAACCTCCATGGCCACAAGGAGATTTTATTTCCTCCTTGGATTTGAATCTGAGACCTCCTGGTACTTTTGACCTTTGGAGCCAAACTCAAACCAATCAGACACCACCCTTGTGGTTAGTTTCGAAAAAGTTTGTTTTAACCCTAAAAATTTTAAATGATGATGAAAAACATTAACATGAGATGAGATGGAGACCAACTGATTTATATGATTTACATAGAGTGTTACTTTGAGTAGTCAACATTAATTGTGACCCTAAATGATATTGTCAATCTATATATTAAAGGTAAAAATGTTATGTAAAAATGATATGGTAGATGATATTAATTTAAAAATAATTATTGATTGATTTTACGTCTACAAATACCACGAAAAATGGTAGAATTATTATTATTTCTTGAATTTGACGTTATTTCAAATGATAAAAACAATACATTAAAGATTTTTGCATACATATCGATGACCCTTTTTACATCTCGTAGGAAGTCAACGGGGCTACACAAATTTATAGAATTCCAAAAAATGGGTAATAAGGAATTATTAAACTAAAACTATATGCAACACTTCACATTCACGTTTCAGAGATATACCTTCATTAGAGTCATTTCTCATAGGAATTAATTAACAACCAAAATCTAGTTTGGCATCTCCACTAGGCATCACACTAGCTATATGTATCCATGGACGGCCCCAACTATGTGGTATAGGTGGCACGTCTCACCGTATTATTTATTTGTCGAAGGGTAAAAAATTAGGTTTCGTGAACGGTGCAACCGTATTAATTTATTGTGTGTCCCGTATGCATTTTGAAACTACAATGAGAACAAGTTTGTTGTGTGTCCCGTATGTGTGTCCCGTATGCATTTCGAATCCTGTTAGTGTCATTTTCTTAGTCAAATGGTATCACCGTTTAAAAAAAATTTGTATATTTGTTTCTTATAGTCAAACGGTGGCACCCTTTGAAAAATTTTCCCTATATTTTTTAATGGTCAAAATGGTGCCACCATTTAAAAAAAATTCTGGGTCCGTTTCTGTATATATCATCGATCCCATCAATCTATTTATAGACTTGTTGATCCATCTGACTTAATTATATCCAAGAGAAATGTTGTTTAAACTTAAGCTATGTGGTGTTGCCCAATAATTTTGAAAACTTCTTTTWTCACAGTAATATTTGCAGAATCATAACAACATACCTGCACATACATCAACCTGCCCAGTATCACCTTGCTCCTGGATAGATCTTCTCTTTCGACTGGATGCATCTTTGATGGCCGTACTCGTCATGGTTTTCGTAGAGCGTAGTTTGGTATACTTTTCCTCAGTTAAACCTTTTTCYGMTGTTACTAAAATAGACGCTTGCACAAAMTCAACCATGAMACAAACAYAGAGCATGGCAACCAAGAACACCAAGGAAACAATGTGGTTTTGGTGCTCCATTGTTGCTAATTTGCATCAGGCAGAATCATCTGTTAGTTAGTTTATATAGAGACTGGGTGGTTGCTTGAAAATTTGTTGACTTGTTCTTGAAATATAGAATCAATACAAGTTTAGAGAGAAGAAAGAGTGATTTGTTGATACATGGCTCTTTCCGAGAAAATTCCGGACTTGTTAATAAATTATATCCTTATTTCGTTTGATTTATCAAATTTTTTCTCTGCTTACAAGTCATCTCATTTCAGCAAGAAGGCATYGACCAGTTCAAATGTTGAAGAAATAGACTGATTGTTGACTTTGAAATTTGAAAATCGATATGTTTTATGTTACCACAGGTGCATTAACGTATGGGTTGGTGTTAAAAGCTTGTCCCCTTGATATGTTTTTTTTCCGACAACGATTGTATGAGCTTAATGGAACGCACAACTTATGAAGACAGTTATATATGACCATTTGGTAGTGGTTTAATTGAGGATATAGAAACTAGCTTATTCGGTAAGCTTCTAGGGGAGCTTATCCACGGGTATTCGCAGAATCAACGTGGTAATCTTTGTTTTCATTCTATTCGTTGCATCACAAACCTTCTTCTCCTAATTAAAAAACAATTTCATTGCATCTATGAAAACACCCTTCCAAACAAAAATCTTTCCAAGCTATAAAGACAGATTAATCCACAAATAAAACTTTATCCATACAAGATGGACAAATTCTTGACGTCCTGGTAACTCAAGTAAAAATAATCATGAAATTATCAATCAAATATGAGCAAGGCTCAGTCAATTAGCAGAGTTTTTCTGGGATTTCGAAGTGAAAGGAACAGGTTAGATCATTTCATATTTCGAACAGACTCATACGACAGCTTATTCTCCCAAAGAAACAAATACCGATCGCTGATAGGGTTGGGCAGATTCCAAGAAACTGCAGAATGCCTGCCAATCAAGGCAATCCGAGATAGCAACGTGTATGTCGATATCTCATCTTTTATTAGTCCAAATATTAAAGATTCATTTTCATATCCGAACTGTTTATAGTCTTATTGATTAGATTACTTAAATTGCAGCGAAGTTCTCTAGATTCCAATAAATCCTCTGACTATTTCTTAACTTGCAACTAAATTAACGCAGTGAATGGGACAAATTGGACTAATTCAGACCTTAAAAACCACTGATTAATAAATGGAGGGATACTGCTTCCATCACTCAACAAGAATTGAATTCATAGGTTATTAATTAAGATCTATTTCATCTGAATTTCACAGAAGTTGCCATATCATCTGTCAATAATCTTTTATAAAGCATGAAGAAATTCTTGACTGATAGAATCAGTAGATCTTTTTAAGGTTAGTTTAATTGATTTATAAGGTTGACTAAGCTATATGGCTCCCTCAAGACTTCCCAAAACTTTTGAACAATTTTTTTTCTCAAGTCAAGTACAAATTTACGGGCAGCCCTAGCTAGGACCCACATGGAGCCTGCTTGTTCTGTATTTGTATTTGGACAAAGTCACCGTACCTCTTTACCAACTGAACTATTATATGGGTTATTCATATGCCAGAGGCTTTTTTTTGTAAAATACATTGCTGAATTATTATCTATGTAGATTTCAGCTGCATCATCTTGCGGCACGTGTAGCTACTTTAAAATACTAATCGGATCAAATCAGGCCGGTTTACTTTCCAACATTAACGTACTAATTTTAGTAAAATATTCATGAAACATTCAATCAAAGAAAGTACGAAATTCAGTTATAAGTGTTTTGCTGGGAGGTTAAATTAGTCATGAAGAGTAGCTCAGCCTTCAAAACAAAAAACAGTGATTGCTGATTGAATTTGGCAGATTTCCAAGCAACTAGCTAGATACCGACAAACCGTCCTTTTTGGGTAAAGCGACGAACCTTTGCTAGATAACAACTTGTGGATGCCAATCGAAGACTTTCCAAGATAAYGACGTTTCTATATCTCAATCAGTACCTATCAATTATATATTAATCCAAATATTAGATAGTTGTTTTCATATGAATTACTTATTGTTTTAATTACTAGTCAACTTAAATCGNCAATCAGTACCTATCAATTATATATTAATCCAAATATTAGATAGTTGTTTTCATATGAATTACTTATTGTTTTAATTACTAGTCAACTTAAATCGCTTTTGCTGRTCTAGAYTCTAACTCTTACTAGTCTTAACTAGTACCTAAATATCTGATTTTTGCTACACCAAGTCAAGCCCCGAAATCCACGGTTACCCAAGAAAAATCAACGACGCTGCAAAAGTACTACTGAAACTGGTGTTCCGCTCTCGGTAATGGGGATCTTGCAGGTTTCTAAAGTTTGTCAAGTTACAAATTGTCAAGGTACTTTGATAGAACAATATGAATAAAGATTCTAGAAGTTTTATTGATTTTCATTCAATAATCATACAGGAGTCTTGAGTGTGAATCAGACTCTTACTGATGAAAGTTATGGATTCAGGTCAAGGAATATTTTGTGCATGTCTCTCTAAAACTCCTCATTACATCAAGACGATTTGCTTCAACAAATATACATGATATTGTCTATGCCTTCTCCTTCCTTTTATGGTCTTCACAAAATATTTAAGTATGTTTTTTTTTGGGGGGAATAATTTTTTTATGTACACTACAACAAAATTGAGTTTATAGGACACCCCAAATCCCTAAGTGTTCCAATAGACCACTTTATAGGACTTAATTTATAGGACCAAAATATAAAGCGTCATATCTAAAGGTGTTGTAATAAGTTTATATGACGTTTTTGGGCGTTTTAACAAGTTTTTTAGAATATGTTAAATACAAAGTGTCGCATTAACAACTTTATAGGATATTTTTTGGAAAGTGTCCTATAAACTCAATTTTTTATAGGATATTTGTTTTTATAGGACATCTTTTCAAAGAGTGTCCTGTAAAGTTGCTAATGAGACGCTTTATATTACAAGTGTCCTAAAAACCTTATTACGACATCAGAAAACGTGATATAAACTTATTACAACGCCTTTAGATAGGACATTTTTTTTGTTCTATAAACTAAATCTTATAAAGAGGTCTATTATGACGCTTAGAAATTGGGAGTGTCCTATAAAACCGATTTTGTTGTAGTGGTACTTTTTCTTGATCCTCATTTGTTTGATTGATATTAAAGTGGAACATGTTGAATTTGGAGATGTTGCACAAGTGTCTGAGTGTCTTCTATGGGCAAGTAGCGTACAGTCTTCCCTAACAATCATATAGGTTAGTCCCAGCTTGAGTGGCACAGTTTTTGGATACTCAGTGACCCCAAGTCGCATTGTCAGGTCGCCTGGAAAGCTTAAAGGTAACTCAAATGCCATGCTCGGCTAAGTCGCGAGGAATGTTATTGGAGCTA